TTAAATTCGGACAACTGGAATCAAATCAGAAGGTTGTATGATGTGCCCTAGTACCTCTAACATACAGCACATATAGTTGAATTCCAGATCACTAGCCCTACTAAAAACAATTCATGTTAATTAATTCACCCTGCGTGTATGTATCTGTGGAGGTTTTGCTAATTCCATGATCGATGCTGGTTAGTTACGGCAATGGCAAAGTCAGGAATCGATCTCAGGAAGAGCCTTTTAAGACATACAAAAGAAATTAAACCGATCATATCAATATAATTAATTGGAGAATATTTAAGTTTTTATTGGAATGGAAAATTTATCAAACAAGAGTGATAGGTGTGATAGCCCATTCCGGATTTTCGAACCTTAGGGGTGAAATGACGATTTTGCCCCTATTATGGTTGTTTCGTTGTGTGGTTGTTTTTGGGTGTGGCTTGGCTGGTTTTGGACCACACACACTCTCCCACACCCCCTCACTCTTTTCCCTGTCCCGTATCACTGTCCATTTCCCTCTCTCTTTCCCATTTCTATCCCCATATGTACGGACAACAACCAAAACCTTTGAAACCTTCACAGATCGAGGAAACAAATTACATATTCGTGCTCGTGAGGTCCTTGGGAGTTCAACCATACCCATTTCAGGTAAGGATACCTTCATTTTCACGTCGAACTAGGGATACCCCGATTTGGTCATTGTTCATGCACACGTTAATTCTTGTGTTTTTGGGAATTTCGAGCTTGTAGGAAGCTTGGTGAGGTCCTTAGGAGGCTCGGGGTGGTTCGTTTGAAGGTTTTGGATGTCGGGATCGTGAGTTACAAGCTGGGCCGGAGTTGGTGGTGTTTTCCCGGCGAGATTCCGTGGGTTTTGGTGCTTGAAAGTGGTATGGATTTGTTCCTCTTGTTGTAAGCTTCATTTTGGTACCAATTTGTGAAATTTGGTTGAAAAACGAAGAAGATACAAGGTTTTAAAATTTTCCCGGTTTTCGCCAGCGCCGGAGTTTGGCCGGAGAAAATGGCGGAATATTCCGTCAGGATGGAATATTCCTAACGGTGTTAACGGAATCCGTCAGAGTTAATGGAATATTCCAACTGACGCCGTCAGTGTGCCAGGCACGTGCCTGCGCGTGGCCGGCGCGTGGGGGCGCGTGCGGCGTCAGAAAATTTTTCTAAAAATATGGGGGTGTTCCTGAGGTTGAGCAGATCACGTTGGTGTATTCATACACCCCATTTGAGCATTGTATGAGAAGTTATTTCATGATGTTGGTTATGTGTTTTAAAATTAACGACTTTATAGTTGTTTCGCATATAGGTGAGACCTATCCCGAGGACGAGCGCGGTCATTCGAGGCAAGGGGGTTACGACCCTTCTACATACCAGTGAGTGGGCTTTTGGTTTTCCGTATATACCTATATACTTATATTTTTCCCAGAAAGTGAAATGAAACGTTTATACGTTATATGTCATGCATTATGTTTGCCGTTTGTGTATGCATTATTAGTTGCATATATATATATATATGTATGTATGTTGGTGCTGCGGACGCACAGGTAAGTGTCAGGTAGGTTCTAGTTTATGTTTATGTTCAGTAGAGATTTGAGATGCATAGAGAGCTCATAACCTACACCTTTGGTGTTAGTGCTCCCGCCCAGAGTTGGGCACAGTCCTTCACATGATGTTCACCTCCCGCACCACACGCTCATCTTGGATCCAAGTTAGGTGCACAGTCCTGTCGTACAGACCACTTTAGGTGGTTCCGACTCGTAGGTGACCTGCAATTAGTCGCCCAACCTTCACGTGATCGTAGCACTTGAGCGTACTTATTATACACCCAGTCCTGTCGTACAGACCACTCTAGGTGGTTCCGACTCATGTGCAGGTATAGTTAGTGAGATGGAGATTTGAGCTCTAGATTCAGCCGTACAGGTCACGCTAGGTGACTCTGGTTGACAGATTACATGGCATTGATTTGACATTACCTGAGCACTTGCATTCTATTTAGAGACATTTGACATGGCATATTTCTGAGCATGACTTATATATATATATGTAAATTCTATTTTTCTGGGAAGTATACAGGTTTTACGGCGAGGGGTTAGAACCTTGTTTATGAAATGGTTTTTGAAAAGCTTTGTTTTTGCCCACTCACACTTTCTATTTTGCGCCTCTCCAGGTTCTAGTTGGCTAGCACTTTTGGTGGCTCCCCAGAGGATTTCCTCGGCATATATGACAGATTATCACCAGTGTAGGACCACCTTTGGGTGTGTTTATGTAGTGTTGTTTCTCCTAGACTGCATTAGGTCTTCGTGCTCTGAACTTTGTTTTTCACACTTACGCTTGCACATGTATGTTCTTACTTTGTGTAAAGTTGGTTTTTATTTATTCGTACTTTTATTATTATTTTATTAGCTTCCGTATTGTGCACATGGTTACGTCACTTCCACGTGACGGCCAGCATGCCCTGATCTCGATCGGGGTGTGTCAATAGGTGTTAAACTTGAAATGATTATAGCAAAAGAACATAACTTGTTTACAAGCTTTAATGAAAGGGGAAGATTCGAACAAAAATTTAAGTTCATATTCTCAAAACTATTACATGAGAGGAATTAGTTTTTCTATTGTTAAACAAAAGGAGTTCAGTTTCAAAAACGAAGGCTAATTACAAGGTTTATAGACTTTATATATATAAACTGAATAAAAAATGAATTAGTTTTTCTGTGGTAAAACAATTAGTTTTTCTATGGTTACACAAAAGGGGTTCAATTCAAGGCTAATTACAAGGTCTGTAGACTTATTTTATATAAACTGAATAAAAAAGGAATTAGTTTTTTTTTTTCTATGGTAAAACAAAAGGGCTTCAGTTTGAAAAACGAAGGCTAATTACAAGGTCTGTAGACTTATTTTATATAAACTGGATTAAAAATGAATTAGTTTTTGTTTTTCTATGGTAAAACAAAAGGGGTTTTAGTAAAAACAAAAAACAAGTTGTTCGACGTCAGTGAACCTCGAACTCATGACAACTTGGAACCATCAAACTACAAGCTCTTTAATCTAAATATTTGCAAGCCATACATATATATTCAATAGATGTCAGGATCGGCCTAGGCCCTCCTTGTGGCTCCGCCGCTGAGTTGCGGGATGCGAATTCTCAATCCATCGGCAAAAAAACAGTGGTGTCATTCACATCCATCAACTATACAGTAAGATTTTTGACACTAAAAGAGTATGTACTTGCTTAAACTTTTTATTTTTTCTTGTTTTGTTAAAATTAGGTTAGGTTTAGAATTTGAATATTCGATCCTCTCCAACATAAGAGGAAAAATGAAAAAATTACCATATGTTAACTATAAAATTATTAATCTCGTAAACATATAGTAATGGAGTTGACAATGTATAACATTTAAATTAATTATTGTTTGATGACGATTGCTTTGTTTATAAAGGTCTTCGCCCTTGCCTTCCTTAACCCTCAAACTATGCCTGCAAATCAGTGTATTATAAGTTTAAACAAGTAACCGCTTGTCACAGAAAGCATTTGATTTCCATGTGTGTGAAAGGCCGATAGGGGCCACAAGGTATTGCTGGTCACTGTCAACATGGTGAACCATCGTCGGCAGAGATTTATGCTGTAAGTAAAATAAGCATAAAATAATAATATTAATGGATTAGTAATATATGGGGAAGAAACACCAGAAAAGAAAAGGAATAATAATGCACATGATCAAGGACATGCTATGTATGTTGCCATGAGATCATTGGAATCTATTATCTGGCAGATGAATGAACTAGAACCATTTCATTTGAAGAATTCTTTTTCTCATATCTATTCCCCATCACGGTAAAAATCAACTTGATCTTACTTATGATTTTGAAATGTATATTAAAAAAACCAAACATACGTCAAACTCGCTCCATAAAGTAATCTTACCTTATAATCCAAACCATTTGTAGGTCGCTATTCATAGATCATCTTTATGAATATTCATTGAAATAAAAAAAAAATTATTTAGATATTTGTATGTGACCTAATAAATTGACAAACACAATATTGTCGAAAAACATTTAAGGGAAATGATAACCGAAAAAAAATAATCCATTTAGGTTATTAGAGATGTTATAAAAAAGTTTGATTTCAAATAGGGCTAGTTAAATATAGAAATAAACTCCACACTGTAATAAGTTAGAAGTCAAAGTATAACTTGATACACAAGTGGTCCTCTACCACACTGGTGAGCAGTGTTGCCTCGACCACGACGTGAGTTCGAACCTCGTCAACTCTAATCTAACAAACTTATCGTTTGACATTAAAAGAAAGAAAAAAAAGTATAACTTGATATAGATAAGATAACAATGATTTTCACACCCTAAAGTCAAAAAAATAATTTTTGTAACGATACCTTGTCACACTTCTTCCATATTTTATTTTGTTGTAGTAGCAAATTATTAGTGGCCATCAAGATATCTATCCAATGGCAGCTAATTAATTTGGACATGATTATATGGTTCATGTAATTGATATAGTAATTAAAAAGAATAAGGGAAACTCAACGAGGTGAATCACCTGCAGGAAGAGTATGCTTATGTTGTGGGTTGCCAATGCTACCTCACAAAGCATTGACCTTGTATCTAATTTTAAAATGCGAAGGGTCACCGTCCCATACCTTTTACCCTAACGGCTACATTGGAAGTAACAACAAAGGGGAAAAATATTAAAAGAATAAAAAGTTAACGTCCAACAGATGGCGGGAAATTTTTCTATAAATAGGCTGATCACCACCCTTTCTTCCTCACCACATCCACCAATCCTCTCTCTCTCTCTCTCTCTCTCTCTCTATTTGTGAAGCGTAATTTTTTTTGTTTTAATCAGATCAATGGCAATCCCAGTTATTGATTTCTCAAAACTTGATGGTGAAGAAAGGGCCAAAACATTGGCTGAGGTTGCTAATGGATGTGAGGAATGGGGATTCTTCCAGGTACTAATTATTATCCATCTTTGATTTAGCTTATATGTTTGGTGGGGAACAACGTAATTTTAGCTCACTACTCATGTATTTGTGCTTCTCATTACTTTGTTGTGCTTTGTTTTTCTCTTCGTTTACAAAAGTGTTTAATTTTGGATGTTTGTGTTTTTCACAGCTGGTGAACCATGGAATATCGGAGGAGCTTCTCGAGAGGGTGAAGAAGGTGACTGGGGACTTCTTTAGGATGGAAAGACAGGAGAACTTTAAGAATTCCACACTAATGAAGGCAGTAAATGAAAACAAAAAATTGGAGAATGTGGACTGGGAGGATGTCTTCACCCTCTTGGATGACAACGAATGGCCCTCGAAAACCCCTGGACTCAAGTAAGTAATATGTAGAACTAGTAAGCAGCACGCTTCAAGCAATGCTCTCAAATTCCTAACATAATATGTTGTCTGGCTATCAATTTGACTCGTATTCCTCCTAAAATTCCTAATCAGTTATTCAGATTAACAGTTTGGCAACATAGCATGTTAGATTGTATGACAATGTCACATTTTAAGGGGAGTAGAATTTGTAAATATGTGATATATTATATCGCAGTGTTCAATTATATGGAATCTGATAATTATTTTTCATATTGATAGGGAAACCATGGAAGAATACAGAAGAGAACTGAAGAAACTTGCTGAGAGGGTTATGGAAGTGATGGATGAGAACTTAGGGTTACCAAAGGGATACATGAAGAAAGCCTTCAACGGTGGCGAAGAAGACAATGCCTTTTTCGGCACCAAGGTGAGCCACTACCCACCATGCCCTAAGCCAGAGCTGGTGACTGGTCTCCGAGCTCACACTGATGCAGGCGGTGTAATATTGCTCTTCCAAGATGACAAAGTTGGAGGCCTCCAAATCCTGAAAGATGGGCAGTGGATAGACGTGCAGCCATTGCGCAACTCGATTGTCATCAACACTGGGGACCAGATTGAGGTCCTGAGCAATGGCCGCTACAAGAGTGTTTGGCACAGGGTTTTGGCTACCCCAACTGGGAATCGAAGGTCAATTGCTTCGTTTTATAACCCATCAATGAAGGCCACCATAGCTCCTGCGCCGGAATTGGTCAAAAAGGAGAACCAAGAAGTGGATCAGACTTATCCCAAGTTTGTGTTTGGTGACTACCTTTCTGTATATGCTGAGCAGAAGTTCCTCCCCAAGGAACCAAGGTTCCAGTCTGTGAGGGCCGTGTGAAAAAAATAAGATCCAAATTAAATGGGGATAAATTTACTTCGCTTTTTATCACTTGGGTGGTTACGCACGTACTATTATTACATATTCGCTCGTCTCTCTCTCAACTGAAAAACTTCTGTGTGGGAGGAGAAAGCTGAAGTGGGTGTAAGTCAGTCTGCGTGTTATGTGCTTGATGTTGCTTTTTTCTGATGTATTGGTGTGTAATCCTGAGGATGCTTAAAAGCTCCATTTCAGATTTGCTAGGTCAGTCGTAAAATATTATGGATTGCAATCTTAAATTTTGTTGTTGGTTATGCCCTTCTCCTTCTTTCCTTATGTAGCAATGAAACTTTTTTTTTTTCTTTTTTTGACAAGACAATATCATATACGTACTATTGTTAGGGAGATTTAAGTTTTGAGTGTAAGGAGATAGATACATTGCTCTTACCAACTAATCTAACCAATCTACATGTATCAATGGACTTTGATGGTCACTTTTTGGTTAATAGACTTGTCATAATTAGCTAGATGCATTTTAGCAATGCATAGATTCAACTTAACTAGAAATTAAAATCTTTTTTTTCGTTTTTTTTTTTTTTTTGGTTTTATACTAACGAAGTTGAGAGGGAAGAATCTAGCCCTGGACCTTAGGTTACTCACTTCAGCTATAAGCCTTTTACGTATTGTTTTTTATGTTTAATAGTTCTTTACGTGTTTTAGCAATGCATATAATCAACTTAACTAGAAATTAAATCTACTTTCCTTGGTTTTTTTTCCTTTTTTTGTTTTTTTTTTTTTTTTGAGTTTTATACTAGCAATGTTGCGAGGGAAGAATCTAGCATTCGCCCTCAGATTATTCTTAACCGCTTCAGCTACAAGCCTTTTACGTATTTTTTTATGTTTAACGGTTCTTTACATATGTCTTTGATGGTTCCCTATATGTTTAGCAAATCCTAGGTATATCCACATGGAACAGGCTAATGACAAAATTCACAAAACCTAAAAGGAAGCAAGCCACCAATTGCCATAAAAACTTATTGACCATAAGGAATTAGTCATGCCACCTAATACTATAGTTTAGTGTATTCCTCTTCACTGGTAAGTGAGAAGTCTTAGTTCGATTATTGCCAAAAGCGAATTTGAACCACATTATTGCTAGTACATTCTTAGACTTAACCCACTCCTCCACCCCACTTCAGCAAATAATATCATTTGTTAGAAAGAAAAAAAAAAAAGAAATTGGTCCTACTTTCTCTAGTAAGATTTTCAATTCTAGTCTCTCTCATGAAAAAAAAAAAAAAAGATGTGTTGGAAAATTAATAGCACTTAAAAAATGAAAAGAGGATCACTCAATAACATCCATGAAAGAGTAAGTATAATTTCTACTGCTTTATACTGAGAATGAACATACTTACTCTCAGTTTGATTTCCTCTAATCTGTAATATGTACAATAATATACAGAATCATTAACCAAGAACGAAGAGTGGAGTAGGTTTCCTTTTTTTTCGTTTCGGAGGCTTAAAGGGCCTTTTGATCTAGTCTTTCGTTCCAGTTTAGGCAACGAATCAAGCTTCGAAACCAATCACCTGTTTGGTCACGTTTGTTAACAGTTGGAAGTGGGTGTTCGCTCATATATATTCGGACAGAGTCTCCTCTTGAGAGTTGCTGCCTTCTCTTTCCGTCAAAAGAAACCCAGGCGTTGCTTCGAGCATCGCTTGGAATCTGTACAAGTAAATGAGTTATCTCATGAATACAACAGCTCGCTATAATTATAAAAATCCTCTCCTAGTCCTCCAGATATAACAACAAATAATGCTGGAAGCGTGGGGGAAAACAAAATTCACCTTCAATTCAAGCTGTGCAGAATCTGGAAGTATAACTGGTCTAAAAGAGAGGGAGTGTGGGCAGATTGGGGTAAACAACATGCACGGGACATTTGGATGCACCTGCATTTCATCTTATCTAGTGTTAGAAGCACAATGACTTTGTTAAAAATCAACCGCAACAACGAGAGACAAATAATAAAAATTGTGGTTTCAGCATGAATTTCTACTTTGATTGGTATATATTATAATATCTTCAAATTGAAAGTCAGCATTGCCCCACACTAGTTTGAATTAGCCAAATAAATAAGGCCTCCTACGTGTGCTTAAACACAAACTAGCAATTTTCTGAGCAAACACCGCATCAATCCTACGTTCAGGCAAAAAGCAACTAAATGTCTAGCATAAATTAGGAATACACACACGCACGCATATGTACTAATATAGACTTTGAGCACCACTTCTAAGTACATTAAAATAGACGTCTGCCATACGAATTTCCATAATCTTTATAGTAGGAACTAGCATTTTTAAACAAATCATATACAGAAATAAGTATATGGAAGAGAATTTCTCTTTCATTAGGAAATATCACACCTAACGCAAACTGAACCACCCAAGCCCTTCAATTTGCACAAGTGCCAGGTACCAAATATTGAAAGATGGTCACTACGACACTGAAGAGGACTTTGCTTACCATGGAACCTCCTGCAGCTGTAGAGTATGCAGTACTTCCTGTAGGTGTAGCGATAATGACCCCATCACCTTGGACCTAAAAGATGTGGCATTTTTCAATAGACAGCATGACAACATAATTGTTACGGAAACTCTCCATGTTATATGAATTTCATCACATCAGATGCCATCCATATAGTAATTACTCTCACAGATTTGACAGCTAGGAAAAGAAAAAGAAACAGCCTTCTATGACTGTGGAGAACAAAGTACAATTCATTTACTCGTGAAAAGTTTAGGACATTATTAGAGCCTATTACAATAATCATTTTATAAGATATGCAATAACAATCTCACCTTGGTTATAAGCCGGTCTTGTTCATAACATTCAATCTTAGAAAGGTATGGATTAGAACCTCGATCAACAACTATTTCATTCAAGACATCAAATACTTTCCCAGGCATTGCTTTACCCTTTCGAAAAATCTCACACCTGAGCCGCATTCTAAGAGTTATATAAACACCATCACTTGTGTTATTTCCATGGATCACTTGCCTTAAGTCCTGCATATAGTCATCAAACTGATACAAAAATATAAGATGGGTTAGACAACTGACAATCTATGAGAGAACATAAATCAACTACAAGCCTACAAAAGACAATCAAAGAACTCACCGTATGGGAAGTCAAAAATCCAAGAGATCCAAGATTAAATGATACAATTGGGGGAACAGCACCTTTAAACAGATTTGAAGCATGGAGTATAACCCCATCTCCTCCCAGGCATGCCACAAAATCAACCCTCTCATGCAAATCACTGAATGTATCAATCAAGTATAGCAAATTTCCAATAAGGTCGTGAAATATACAAACTGCTATCCAACTTTAGGTACAAGTTTGGTACCTGGTATCTTGACTATAGAAGGTCTGAACAAATCCAAACCCTGGGATTCTAGCAAACACATCATGCACATCCGGTTCCACCAGAACATTCATTTTCTCTTGGTAATACAAGAAAGAGACAACCTACACAAAGACATGGAAAAAGCAATAAGAATATCCAGCGAACAAACTCACAAATTAAATAATTGTACATTTAAAAATAACTGCTGACATAATAAGATATCTTCCAATATACCAGCAGAAAATAAAAATGCATCCATATACTGTATGGTGCACACAAGGCCCTTTCACAGAGGGATCCCTACATTTGCAAAACTGGGAATCCCTTTGTGGGGACCATGGGGCATTGTCGCTTAACAATCTAAACAGTTTTAAGTCTTCCTAAATGATCATCCTTGTTTATGATAATAATCCCAATCAGAAATCATTAAGATATCTGACTACATTAATGAAATAGACAAACACAATGTTTCTGGTAAACACTTGCATGATCATGAATCCATGATGATAATCAAAGGGTTCGACTGGTTTTTTACAAGGATCATTTGTGGATGTAGAATGAAAAAGATAGTCAGTTCGGAACATTGAACTATAAGAGGAGAAAGCCCACCTGGGATCCCACTATATGTATGCTACTGAATGCCAAATTGTTTGAAATACATGTGTGGAGGAGCTGTAGTAAGAACATGTTCCCCTTAATTTAGCCTTTAGTTTGTTCAAGTTCATGTACTAGCAAAGCAAGCAATCTTTAATGCTTAATGAACTAACCCCATTGCCTAAGTTGTTCATTCTCATTGTAGTGGATGTAGAAATTTTGTAATGAGCATGATCTTTCCGGTTTACACTCTTGTATTCATACACATTAATCGTTGATACAAACTCTGTATTTTTTTTTAAGAGAAAATTTATATATATAAAAAAAAATAAAAAATAAAAAAAGAAAAAAAAGAGGGAAGCAAAACAATATGGACAAGACTTCCAACTAAATAACAGAGTTTAGAAACTCTGACTGACACCAGTTCTATCATTAGACCACATTGCAAGTAAAAAATGAAAAGTATCATCTAAAAACAGATAGTAGGTTTTAAATATGAGTAGAATATTTACAGATACTAGATTCTCAGATGGTATGGTACCTCTTTAGCTTGTTGCATGAGTTCTTGCCCTAGCTTCTTCAACACTAATACTGTCTTTGGTGAGGATTTCCACATAAGCATTTGCTGCTGGGTACTTGGATGAGTGAAGGCCAAGGAGGATTCCGTCACCTTTTCTCGGCTACAAGAGAATCCATCTGTTCGAACTAAAAACATCTCAGCTTTCTTTCTTGACTGCACCCTTACAACACCAGTTGCAGAAGCACACATATTTCCTTCAATTGACCCCAGGTCATCGTCTCCTGAAGCTAAGGTGGCTCCACCATTACTCTTCCTATCCTCATTTACTGCTTTAGGTAAGACACTCTCATCATAACTACTACTCGGAGTAGTAGACACATTACTTGCAATTTCATTCACTTCATCAAATCCGTTCACAACTGGACGAACAGAACCAGAATTAACACTAGTCAAATACTTCCCATTTCCAGAAGTAGAGGTCTGGACTTCTGGAGACAGATCCTTTCTGTAAGGAGGCCCATATGAATTTTGTACCACCACAAGCTCGGGTGCTGAATTGGTACCGCCTCTCTGCAATGTTTTAATATTGATACCTCTGGAAATTGGTAATGTAGCCAACCTTTTTAACTGATGATTAAAATAGGAGTGAGGTGAGATGCTTTTTCTCCCCAGAAACCTGGACATTTCTTTTCTAGAGAAAACATTACAAGGAGGAACTTGGGCATTCAGGGGTTCAACTTCCCTGCAAAAGTTCATCATATTTCCTTCCCCATTTTTATCTGGTTCTACTGATGTCATGCCTTGGACAGACATAAGGCTGTTATATGTCCCATTTGAGCTCTGATTTGTTTCATCCCTATCTGAAGACACATCCTTCTGAAATACACCATTTAAACCATAAGTTTTGTCCAGTTCCCCTTGCAGTGGCTTGTTCTTTCCCGGGATAGACCTTTTCTTAGAAGTGGAAGGCTCCAGCACTTCGCCTGCCCCATTTGTATTTCGTAGTAACACATCGTTGATAGCACTTGACTGCTTGGAGACAAACTGCACATTATAACGCGACGAGTATTGCCTCCATCTAGAAACCATGGCAGAAGTTCTCAACACTCCTTCCTTACTATGAAGATAGATCGGCTTCTTGCTGCAATCTGAAACCAAAGATGCAAATTTCTCAACCTGCTCCATTGAAGGTGCAGTCCCAACTTCAACTGGAATTTTGACCAATTCAACTTTCCCGGATGCAATAGCATCATCTATGGCTGAATGATAAGCTTTGTCTTTTACAGTCTCTGCCATAAGGTCAACAATAGTTTTATATCCTTTCTCTAGTAACCACTTCAGACCTTCTTCTGTTACCTGGCCACCCCTCCAAAAAGCTATCTCCGAATCTATGGACCTAATGTCCTCTTTACAAGAGGATAAGTAAACAGGAGCCCAATTCGCAAAAAGTGTATGGCAAGGATAATCCTCCCCGCGGGGAAAACCAGAATCATAACAGACATTCTTCAGTCTTTGAAGTTTCCTCCATACATCCAAGCTTCGATCATCCCCAGGAACCAACCAGTTTTCAAGAGCAACGTGCAAGCTCTCGCAACACCTTTTCACCTCACTTCTGAAAATGGCAAGTGGAGGAAGCTCATCCTCCATTACACTTAAATCTGCGAGGCG